TTCTTCCTGCCTAACAAAAACAGTGTTAAGCCTGGGCCACACTATCGTCTATATTGACGAAAACGAAACGAAAATTCGTGCACGAAATGCATGCCAGACACGACGAAAAATTACAAGCATGTTTGCAAAGCCAAAACTTTTTTGGCCAATAAGCAAGCGGCGTTTTTGACGCTTGCTCATTGAGTTCTATAATAACTGGAGCGGCTAACTTTACTGGGGCGAGGACGCCAAAAAAATGGCGGCCAAAGGACGTATTTCCGCTGAAATGATCGCTTTGCAGAAAAATAATATTCTCGACCTCCCCTGGTGTCTATAGTAAATTATAAAGAATTTTCAAAACAAACACGATATCACAGAATATGGATATCGTTAGTTCCATATTCTGTGACGATTCTTTTTGGTTCTTTTATAATGCCAACACTTCAATCGTTCAATTGTTGATGTCGTAGTTTCCACAAAGGAACATATCGCTTCTCACAGGTGAGGTAGTTGTTTGTTTTGTTAGTCCGTCAACGATTGAAAAGCATTATACATGCACTTGAAAAGCCATAAAATTCATATTAAAGATCGTATTTTTAAGACTGACTTGAACGCCAAAATATACTGATGTTTTCCTGTTTTGTTTTAAATTCTGCATACTTTCTGTCATGCATGAAATCGTAAATTTACCCATTTATTTGCAAAATAGTTTCCTAAAGAAAAAGACCCTGCACACATTTTGCTCTGTGAGAAAAGAAATGATCAGCCCCAACAGTACCCATGATTTGGAGCAGAGCTTGTTATGTTCTATTTGCTGACAACATGCAGGGAAGATCAAGGAGAAAGATGACTGGAAGATGTTATTGACCAGGCAGAGTCTTAAAAATGATAATGCTGTAGATAATTGATTTATTGTCTGCCCTATCCAGAGTTATTTAATTTGATCGTGGTCAAATTCTATGGATGGAGACAATGGATTCACTAAGGATGCCTTGAATGCTTTAAAGCAAGTTCATGATCCAAAGAAAGATGGCAAGAAGGTTGTGTGTGTTTTGATGCTTAATGAAATGTCAATTCACAAACATGTAAAATGGAAGGCCATGAAGTTTGTGTCTATGTAAACATTTGTACTGAGATTGATGATGACTCGATGCAGATGTGAAGCTTCAAACTGTATAAGCCATTGGGTTTTACAAATGTTTAAATCATGTCATATCTTTATCAAAATATTTTAGTTGAGTGTTGTTTGAATGTTACTAATATCTAATGCACTATACTGAAGCATTAAAGATTCAGTGATGAAACCTTTAAAGTTACTGTACTGTATATTATATATTTCTTATGTTTCTTTAAGAAAAATTTGAGCTTATTTACCTATTAGAGTACAGAATGGAGATTTATCATATGCATTTTTGAAGAAAAGTTTTTCACTTTCAAAGTTTTCTACTAATTTTTGCTTCTATTTCTTATCATGAGATTGATGATAGAGGTAATATAATCCAATAACTTTCTAATTTCTAAAAGCTTTAAGCTTCTAGCATAAAAGTACACTATAGGTATGTAATTCATTTGGTTTTATTGCCTTGCTATGACATATCTACTTGCACTTCATCATTCTTGTATGAACAAAACACTAGATGTGGATACTCAGAGAACAAAATGCACTACCAACTGCTTATGAAATGTATTATTAAGGTGAAAACTGTGTTAATCATTCAAATAATAGTGCACTTTTATTGCAAATATAGGAAAAACAAAACAAAGTGAAAAGAAAGGTAGAAGTATTAAAACAAATGAATTATAAACACCATTGGAAGCATAAGTGTTTTGATGATTATTTGCATTTACCAATTCATATATCAATACAACAAAATCAAATGTGCTAGAACTTTAAAAAGTATTTGATGAGTTGCACTTCAGAACATCACAAAAAGGTTACTTAAAGTAATTTCTATACAATATTGTTTGTTTCATTTACCAAACCTATGCAGACTTGAGTCTTTGAAATTTCATATGAAACTCAATTACAGAAAATCCGTAAATATCCAGAGATTTAATATGTACTTTTTAAAGAAACAAGTAAAATCCCAACAATTGTAGAAAAAGCATTGCCCATTGCATGAAAAGAAGCAAAATAGCAATGATAACAAACAAGCTAACTTCTCTCGTGAACCGTGGAGATGAACTATGATATACTTTTTGTATAGACTAAAGAGTTTAATCGATCAAACAAGTTTGACGCTGGTAAGAAAACGACGCACATCTGCATTCATACATGTGTAGCCGACATATAGGTCTTTCGTCGATAGTTATAAATGCATCCTTAGGAGACAACTGACAACCACAGTTGACTCTGCTGTTATGAATTTAAGGTTTTACCTTGATTTTCATCAAAAATTGCTTGCCGAATCCCCAAATACACATACATTTTCCTACTCTTTCATCAGGAGGGAGTAAAATGAAATGGAAAGCGTCAATTTTGTAAATCTCAGCGGCAAAGGACGAAATCCGCCATTTTTTTGGCGTCATCAGATATCTAAGGCCGCGCTTGAGATAGCCGCTCTAGTTATTATAGAACTCAATGCTCTTGCCACTCCGCCATGTTTGGGTACAAAGTCTGATATTATTAGCCAATAGTATGCGTTTTCGTTGACGAAAAAAGGTCAAAAGTTCAACTCTTCTAATATGCACGAAAACGAAATTTTCGTCGAGTTTTCGTTCAAAATTTTCGTTGCGGCAGTTTTCGTTCTAATTTTCGTCGATATGGACGATAGTGTGGCCTAGGCTTTAGACAGCATTTTTAAAGTATCTCTCAAACACCACGGTTAATATTGTTACCGCAACTTGTCACGCTAATTTTTATAAAGCAGAAAAAGCGATTTGCATTTTAATGTGTGCATGGATTTTAGTTTTTGGCCATCGCAACAGAATATAAAATGTGCACTAGGTACATCATTTAAAGACATTGTGCATTGCTAATTAAGTCACATCTTAACTATTTTCACAAGATAAAGCGTAAATGAAATTTTATCCATCAGTTCAAGTCCGTGGATGAGAGAAAACAAATGTCATTTAGTAAATTTTAGTTTAGAGAGCATATCATATATTACGATCACTGTACATTCAAATATTCAAATATAAGGAAAGTAAAGATGTTCCACCTATGGTTTCATCAGTTAGTGACTGATAACAAAAGGATTCGTGTTGAAACTTAAAAATATCCGCTCACTGCAACTGACATGTTGAAATTAAACTCAATCAAACTTTGACTTTTAGTATTATTGGAGTTCGATAGAATTATTTTAGGGTATCTTTGCGACAAAGCCAGTGGTCTCCAAGCTTATTATTCTTCACTGTTTTTTTGGAAAAATTTTGATCTCCAACAATTAAATAATTCTCGTATAATAATGTCTGAACAACTTGAATTAAATCTCATATAATATAAGTTATGCGTGATCTGTGTAATCTCGCAAACATGACTGGAAAATCGAAACGCATTTTTGAACTTAGTAGTCCGATTGATAATATACAAAATTATACCACGCCTTTTTGTCGTGCAAATTACATACAGGGCACTTTATTCATGTAAGCGACGTCCTCACCCCTTCCTAATCTTATGACCTATGTCACAGCCCTGGAAAATCCCAGAGTATCAGAGAATCTCCACGAAAACCCTCCTCTTGTCCATCACTTTCCTCTATATTTTCTCATAAACACCACATCTCCTTTGGCTGATTTTCACGATTTCTCAATATTCTTTCTTTCTCTGACACTTACGAGTAAATGATCCAAAAAAGCCTTCTCATACTTAAGTTTGAACCCTCTCTTAATACCCAATGTTAAACATACTTTAGTATGTCTTTTCTTCTTTTTCTAAGCGTCATATTTCTCCTTGTTTTGTCCTGTCACGATGTCACCCAAGTTAAAGTTAAACTGAACTATCATACAGCCATCATCTTTTCATTCAATATCTTCACCATTTATGCATAAAATGTGCTCAATGACGTTCTCTTGTCTCAATCCATTAATAAATCTTAAAACAATTGAAGACCGAAGTAAATACCTTTCTCTATCACCAATGTTATTTCAGCTGTTATTTCAATCGTTTTTCACAATTTCAGCTTTCTTGTAATAGAATTGTCGCGTTAGTCACTGTCCGTTGTAGGTTGTCACATTTCTACAATCAAAAACACGTTTTTATTTGATTCTCGTATGATACATTTCTCGTTGAAAGAGGTGTTCATTGTGTAAGCAAATAATACTTAGTTAATAACTATAGTTAAATATAAATTTAACTGTCGATTTCGGCTCTGTAGCTCTTCGCAATGAAATTTAATGTCTTCCAAATCAACTGATGCATTTTATGCTTTTGTGAATTTGTTAGTTCATCTGTCATCCACAATAGACTACCTATATATAGATTAGAGGGATTTATAGAATACACACCTTAAACTCACAAGTACTTTTTGGCCAACAAAAAAATGTTCTGTCTTTTGTTGCAGCCTAAAGAAACATGATGGTGAACATAGCTTACATATTTTCATTTAAGTTCTTGTTTATTAAAAAAATTAGTTGTGTTTTTCAGTAAGTGGACTTTGGTCGTTTGATATTGCAACAGAATATATAATGTTCACATGCTGTGGAGCTCTAAAAACTCTTGCATATAAACTATTTCAATAACGCAAAGCATATATGAAACTTTATCATCAGCTCAAGTCCTTTCTATTTCATTACTTTTTTCAGCCGAGAATAGATAACCGTGGTTTCAATCGTCAGAAGGCACAATAACTGTTAAAAAAGAGTAAAGTAAAACTTAAAAACACTGACTCGGTGCAAAATTTGATTACTTTGATGAAACTGAAAGGTATTCGGTATATTTAATGATGTTTTAAGCATTAAACTTTGATCAAACTTCACCGACTTCTAGTTTTATTAGAATTCAATGCACGAGATGATGACTGGTGAGTGAACAAAGTATACAAAGTTTTTCAGTGTGTTTTTTTTTGTAGATTTTCATTTCGTAACTACTAAATTTAGTTATCGTACCTATTAGATGATGAAAACAAGAATGAAGGTAATTTATTTTTTAGAGTAAACCTTAATACAATCTTTAAGTGTCTAAAAACGATCGTGATTTTCCTGTTCATCTCGTAATGGACAACAACAATAGCTAATGTATGAAATCTATGAATAACATATAGCAACAAGTAAAAACAAATTTAGGTGAACAAAAGTTCGCTTACCAGGTTTGCATGTGAATGGAACAAGTTACATAAGAATATTAGGGAGAATCAGAGTCTTAAACTTTTTAAATATAGGTTATGAATGTTTTATTTGAAATTTTAGTATTCTTTTAATCTATGGATGCAATATAGTTATTGTATTTAACAGGGTCCTACTGAAAACCATTTTTGCGATATAGGCGCAATCAATTAATACTTTTATAATAATAATAATGAATAAAAGTAATAATAATAAATATATCTAAAATGGCTCCTTTTGTTTCTTTGGTTTCCCAAAAGTTGATTGTAAGAGCTATGCTAAAAGACATCATTTTGTAGAACCATTTCAGTCTAGAATAAACAAACAATAAAATCATCGTTCCTGATGTTGCCTTGAGTCTTGACTGTATAATTTTATAACATGCTAATGATCCTATACATTATCTTAAATCGTTGCCATAAATGGACTTATTTTATTCTCCATCCCTCCTTTCTTCTTCTCTGTGCTCTCCTTCCCAAGATGAATAAAAATTTTTTTATCCCTCAGCAGCCTTTGCACAGGCTACTTTCTTAGTTTACCGCCCGTGTAACAAACCTTCAGCCTTCGGAGGCTTAGGTAATCCACTCAGTGGGCAGTAAACATAATCACTCGTACGTGCAATAAAACATTCAACGAAATGTCTACAACAAAACGAGTTTCTTTTAATGAACCGAAAGAGATAATTGGATGGCTGAAGGTAAACATTCTCTAGACAGTGACGAGGAAAGTGATGAACAACAAGAGAGTAAGGACTAGGGAATTTATAATGAAGTGTAGGAGCTGAGGCTAATTGCGCCACAAGATCAAAGTACTTTGAAATTTCAGCAATAAACGAGAGTTTCTCATCTAATTGTGTATGCTTTGATTTCAACGAGGTCATTGTAGTCATCTAACCACCGTCTACTTAAAGATGATGTTAGCCAAAACTTGTTGAGTGAAGTAGTTGCATTGCCTCTGCCCTCTTTAATTTTGAATGTATTTCTCAAAGACTAAAATTTTTATTATTGATGTTTGTTATCTCCTGAAATAATGCTAAAAATATCTTTATCAACTCCAACCTCTCTTTCCTTGATCAGTGAGTAATAATGTGCGTAAAGCAAGAAAACATTTTAACAAGTTTATGGGTGTAAATTATAAAAAGGTTAATTATAGACAGGGTTATTAAATTATTTTTAATTTGAAGACATTAAATCATGTGTGTTTAAATAAGCTTGTTTTGATTATGAAAGTAGTTTATGTCACAAGAATTGTTCGTATTTAAAGAGAGAGAGCTGAACGTGAGCGAGAAACAGAAAAAACTCAAAATGAAAATTGTTCCAGCGAAGACAATGTTGTGTTTGGAAATGTCAAAAAAAGTAATGAAAATATTTGTAGCCATGTTGTTGAGCAACCTGCCAAAAACATCGACGTAAGGTATTTTAAGAAACAATTTGTTGTGGAAAATTTTTTGCTTTCAATATGTCATTATCTTAAATCATATAAAATGGAAATACGTAGTTTTATGTTACAGGAGGCTCATGTTGTTGAGACATTGTCGGAAAATCAGAACAAACAACAAATGTCGACAGTAAAAACGAACAAAAAAAGAAAAAGAGGAAGAGGAAAGCAAAGAGAAATCAAACTGTACCTATGAAAGAAAGTGAAAATAATGATGCGAGAATTATTTTAAAACCTATTGCTTGGAGAACACCTCCTGCCTCCTTAAATAGTAACCCTAGCAATGGAAGAAAGTTGGAACCAATCAGAGCTCCCCTTCACAAGAGTAAGTCATCAGCATTGAACTAAAATCATTGAGTTCTATAATAACTGGAGCGGCTAACTTTACTGGGGCGAGGTCGCCAAAAAAATGGCGGCCAACGGACGTATTTCCGCTGAAATGATCGCTTTGCAGAAAAATAATATTCTCGACCTCCCCCTGGTGTGTATAGTAAATTATAAAGAATTTTTCAAAAACAAACACGATATTACAGAATACGGATATCGTTAGCTCCATATTCTGTGACGATATCTTTTTTAGCATTTCTTTTATAATGCCAACACTTCAATCGTTCAATTGTTGGATGTCGTAGTTTCCACAAAAAGGAAAATATCGCTTCTCACAGGTGAGATAGTTGCTTGTTTTGTTAGTCCGTCAACGATTGAAAAGCAATTATACATGCTCTTGAAAAGCCATAAAATACATATTAAAGATCGTATTTTTTAAGACTGACTTGAACGCCAATTATACTGATGTTTTCCTGTTTTTGTTAATAAAATTCTGCATACTTTTCTGTTATTTGTTAATGCATGAAATCGTAAATTTACCCATCTATTTGCAAAATAGTTTCCATAATAGTGAAGCACGGAATTTTCGTCTTCGCTTTCTTCTTCATCCAATTCACCACGTTTGACGTAAGTCTAAATTCGTGGCTCAAACTGAAGGGCTGAAAGTCCATGCCGTGAATACTTGTGTCATCGTCCGAAATCATTGAAGTGGAATCTTTAGAACTGTTTGTATCACTCTGACTTTCAAAACATTCTATGTCCATATCTTCATTCGAAACAATTTATTTATGGCATGCATTGACATCCATCGGAAAAAAGGTTTGTAAATATTTTACAAAAAATCAAAAAATTTCATCGTAAAATCGATATATAAGGACGAGCACCTCTATATATCATTGTATTTTATAGCGTTGGTATATGTACTTAGGCACTCTCGTGACGTCATAAAGTAAGCCGCTGCAAATTTGCGCGACGCTAGACTTCGCCGCCATATTAGCAATATTTCGTATCTTTTACTTCAAATATCTCATAAAATATTTAGAATAAAGACAAATGACTTCACATCAAACCTTAGGGAACTAGGACCTATCATTTGAACATAAATTGTATTTGGGGTGAACTTCCCCTTTAACTAAACTGTTGACTTTGTTGCAGTTCAAGTTAAGCTCTCGGCAACGGTGTCAATATACAGTTGATTATGTTTAGAAACTTTTAATGTATTTAATGACTTTGTGGATTTATTGGTTTAACTGTCATCGACAATAGATTGCCTACGAATTGCATATATTTATAGGCCACACCTTGAAAACGTTCGAGTTCTTCCTGCCACACAGTGTTAAGCCTGGGCCACACTATCGTCTATTTTGACGAAAACGAAAACGAAACGAAAATTCGTGCACGAAATGCATGCCAGACACGACGAAAAATTACAAGCATGTTTGCAAAGCCAAAACTTTTTTGGCCAATAAGCAAGCGGCGTTTTTGACGGATTAGAAAAAATAGCGATATCTAAAAGAAAAAGATTACTTCTTCTGAAGAAAAAGTTACTGCTTTTTTAAATACAAATCAAAGTGTCGCCACCATTTCCAATTCGGCTCGTCAGTGGCAGCAACACCACTAGCTCTTCTAAGATCGTACTGCCTTTTGTACTGCATGAACGAATCACGCAGATTAGACCACTTTTTCATGATAGCGTCAACTGTAAAATGTTTAAAAATAATGGAAATACATGATTTGATATAAAAAGTGTGTCGGCGGACTATCAATAATACTCACTATCCCACGCCAAGTCCGTAATTTTGTTAAATTCATCCAAAACATCTTGCCAGTGATTTCTTTTCTTGTTCCTCGAGTCCTTATAATTCGGGTGACTTTTATCATACAAAATTGGTTTTTCTCCCATCAGATTTATCAAAACCTCCTGCCACTCCGCCATGTTTGGGTACAAAGTCTGATATTATTAGCCAATAGTATGCGTTTTCGTTGACGAAAAAGGTCAAAAGTTCAACTCTTCTAATACGCACAAAAACGAAATTTTCGTCGAGTTTTCGTTCAAAATTTTCGTTGCGGCAGTTTTCGTTCTAATTTTCGTCGATATGGACGATAGTGTGGCCTAGGCTTTAGACAGCATTTTTAAAGTATCTCTCAAACACGGCGGTTAATATTGTTACCGCAACTTGTCACGCTAATTTTTATAAAGCAGAAAAAGCTATTTGTATTTTAATGTGTGCATGGATTTTAGTTGTTGGCCATCGCAACAGAATATAAAATGTGCACAAGATACATCATTTAAAGACCTTTTGTGCATTGCTAATTAAGTCACATCTTAACTATTTTCACAAGGTAAAGCGTAAATGAAATTTTATCCATCAGTTCAAGTCCGTGGATGAGAGAAAACAAATGTCATTTAGTTTAGAGAACATATCATATATAACGATCACTGTACATTCAAATATTCAAATATAAGGAAAGTAAAGATGTTCCACCTGTGGTTTCATCAGTTAGTGACTGATAACAAAGGGAATCGTGTTGAAACTAAAAAATATCCACTCACTGCAACTGATATGTGCATTTAAACTCAAACTTTGACTTTTAGTATTATTGGAGTTCGATAGAATTATTTAAGGGTATCTTTGCGACAAAGCCAGTCGTATCCAAGCTTATAATTCTTCGCTGTTTTTTGGAAAAATTTTGATCCCCAACAATTAAATAATTCTCGTATAATAATGTCTGAACAACTTGAATTAAATCTCATATAATATAAGTCATGCGTGGTCTGTGTAATCTCGTAAACATGACTGGAAAATCGAAACGCATTTTTGAACTTAGTAATCCGATTGATAATATACAAAATTATACCACGCATTTTGTCATGCAAATTACATACAGGGCACTTTATTCATGTAAGGGACGTCCTCATCCCTTCCTAATCTTATGACCTATGTCACAGCCCTGGAAAATTCCAGAGTATCAGAGAATATCCACGAAAACCCTACTCTTGTCCATCACTTTCCTCTATATTTTCTCATAAACACGATTTCTCAATATTCTTTCTTTTCCTGACACTTACGGGTAAATGATCCACAAAAGCCTTCTCATACCTAAGTTTGAACCCTCTCTTAACACCCAATGTTAAACATACTAAAGTATACCTTTCCTTTTTTTTCTAAGCGTCATATTTCTCCTTGTTTTTGTCCTGTCACGATGTCACCCAAGTTAAAGTTAAACTGAACTATCATACAGCCATCATCTTTTCAATCAATATCTTCACCATTTATGCATAGAAAAATGTGCTCAATGACGTTCTCTCTTGTCTCAACCCATTAATAAATCTTAAAACTATTGAAGACGGAAGTAAATACCTTTCTCTCTCACCAAAGTTATTTCAGCTGTTATTTCACAATTTCAACTTTCTTGTAATAGAATTGTCGCGTTAATCACTGTCCGTTGTAGGTTGTCACATTTCTACAATTAAAAACACGGTTTTATTTGATTCTCGTATGATACATTTCTCGTTGAGACATGTGTTCTTTGTGTTGAGACATGTGTTCAAGCAAATAATACATCTTGATGGTGATTTTTTTTTCAATCACTGTACAATATAAAACATAATTCATAAACTCCTTACTGCGTGTCTTTTTACTTGACCAAGATCTGTAAGAAAAATTATGAATTTAACTGCTGACTTCGGCTCTGTTGCTATTGACCACAGAATAGATACATAACAGAAAGGTCACGTAGCGAAAAATCTGTCCCCCACTAGCACCCAGTTCGCAAATGCGCATCTGTTGCGTCCGCCATTACTCCAGCTAGACTAACTGGCCAGAATGCATATTATATGTAAATATAATGGAGAGTTGTTTTTCGAAAATTTGACGAATGTAAATTCACTTATAGACAAAATTTTTGATGCCATCGGACAGGACACCAAGGATATGAGGTGAGAAACAGTTTTGTTGTAAAATACGTTCGTCAACTATAATTTCACGGGTTTTATAGTTTCTCGTCTTGAATTGTATGCGAGATCCATGTTTAGAACGTCTCTTACATTGAATGGCAATTGCCCTAAGAATTTCTAATTTAGGACTAATACAAAGGTAATAAATATATATAGTCTGATTCCATTTCTATATTTTCTAGTAAAGAGTTTCCTATTTGAATGGTCAATGGATTTGTTAGAAGCGATAAATCGACCTACTGTGCGTAAAGAACGTTTTTCCGGTGAAGACGTTATTAGTATAGAATTTGGACTAAACTACCATTATTTTTGATGCTTGAATTGGGACTTTTCATTTGCAATGTAGCTTGTCTGCATAATTGTAATTGAAAGTTTTTATTTGTAATTGTAAATTCAGTTCCTATGGCTATCATGTCTCTCAAATTTGTATTATCTTACAAATAAAGATTTTTTTTTTAAAATAAACAATATATGAAATTACAATTTTTTAAAGAATGAAGTTATTGATAAATTTTTTAAATTAAATTAACAACTTTGTCATTATGTCAAACATATTGTCAAACTCCTACAGCTTAGCTCTTTGGTTAAACTTAACTTGTGAGTTGTGACCAACAGTTATATGTGAAAAATGATTAGAATGTACAACTTGAAACATAACTCATAAACTTCTTACTGCATGTTTTTTTACTTAACCAAGATCTGTAAGAAAAATTTATGAATTTAACTGTTGACTTCGGCTCTGTAGCTCTTGGCAATGAAATTTAATGTCTTCCAAATCAACTGATGCATTTTATGCTTTAGTGAATTTATTGGTTCATCTGTCATCCACAATAGTCTACCTATATATAGATTTGAGGGATTTATAGAATACACACCTTAAACTCACAAGTACTTTTTGGCCAACAAAAATGTTTTGTCTTTTGTTGCAGCCTAAAGAAACATGATGGTGAACATAGCTTACATCTTTTCATTTAAGTTCTTGTTTATTAAAAAAATTAGTTGTGTTTTTCAGTAAGTGGACTTTGGTCGTTTGATATTGCAACAGAATATATAATGTTCACATGCTGTGAAGTCCTAAAAACTCTTGTATATAAACTAATTCAATAACGCAGAGGATATATGAAACTTTATCATCAGCTCACGTCCTTTTTATTTCATTACTTTTTTCAGCCGAGAATAGATAACCGTGGTTTCAATCGTCAGAAGGCACAATAACTGTTAAAAAAGAGTAGAGTAAAACTTAAAAGACTGACTCGGTGCAAAACTTGATTACTTTGATGAAACTGAAAGGTATTCGGTATATTTAATGTTTTAAGCATTAAACTTTGATCAAACTTCATTGACTTCTAGTTTTATTAGAATTCAATGCAAGAGATGATGACTGGTCAGTGAACAAGGTATACAAAGTTTTTCAGTGTGTTTTTTTTTGTAGATTTTCATTTCGTAACTACTAAATTTAGTTATCGTACCTGTTAGATGATGAAAACAAGAATGAAGGTAATTTATTTTTTAGAGTAAACCTTAATACAATCTTTAAGTGTCTAAAAACGATCGTAATTTTTCTGTTCATCTCGTCATGGACATTAACAATAGCTAATGTATGAAATCTATGAATAACATATAGCAACAAGTAAAAACAAATTTAGGTGAACAAAAGTTCGCTTACCAGGTTTGCATGTGAATGGAACAAGTTACATAAGAATATTAGGGAGAATCAGAGTCTGGAACTTTTTAAATATAGGTTATGAATGTTTTATTTGAAGTTTTAGTATTATTTTAATCCATGGATGCAATATAGTTATTGTATTTAACAGGGTCCTACTGAAAACCATTTTTGCGATGTAGGCGCAATCAGTTAATACTTTTATAATAATAATAATAATAATGAATAATAGTAATAATAATAAATATATCTAAAATGGCTCCTTTTGTTTTTTGGTTTCCCAAAAGTTGATTCTAAGAGCTAAGCTAAAAGATATCATTTGGTGGAATCATTTCAGTCTCGAATAAACAAACAATAAAATCATCGTTCCTGATGTTGCCTTGAGTCTTGACTGTATAATTTTATAACATGCTAATGATCCTATACATTATCTTAAATCGTTGCCATAAATGGACTTATTTTATTCTCCATCCCTCCTTTCTTCTTCTCTGTGCTTTCCTCCCCAAGATGAGTAAAAATTTTTTTTATCCCTCTACAGCCTTTACGAAGGCTACTTCTCAGTTTCCCGCCCGTGTAACAAACCTTCATACTTTGGAGGCTAAGGTAAACCACTCAGTGGTCAGAAACATAATCAATCGTACATGTAATAAAACATTCAACAAAATGTCTACAACAAAACGAGTTTCTTTTAATGAACCGAAGGAGAAAGTTGGACGGTTTGAAGGTAAACATTCTCTAGACAGTGACGAGGAAAGTGATGAACAACAAGAGGGTAAGGACTAGGGAATTTATAATGAAGTGTAGGAATACGAAATAAAATGAAGTATCGCTGATGCCAATTGCGCCACAAGATCAAAGTACTTTGAAATTTCAGCAATGAACGGGAGTTTCTCATCTATTTGTGTATGCTTTGATTTCAACGAGGTCATTGTATCCATCTAACCACCGTCTACTTGAAGATGATGTTAGCCAAAACATCTTGAGAGAAGTAGTTCCATTGCTTTTGTCCTCTTTAATTTTGAATGTATTTCTCAAAGACTAAAATTTTTATTATTGATGTTTGTTATCTCCTGAGATAATGCTAAAAATATCTTTATCAACTCCAACCTCTCTTTCCTTGATCAGTGAGTAGTAATGCGTGTAAAGCAAGGAAACATTTTAACAAGTTTATTGATGTAAATTATAAAAAAGGTTAATTATATACAGTGTTATTAAATTATTTTTAATTTGAAGACATTAAATCATGTGTGCTTTAAATAAGCTTGTTTTGATTGTGAAAGTATTTTATGTCACAAGAATTGTTCGTATTTAAAGAGAGAGACCTGAACGTGAGCGAGAAACAGAAAAGAATCAAAATGAAAATTGTTCCAGAAAAGACAATGTTGTGTTTGGAATTGTCAAAAAAAGCAATGAAAACATTTGTAGCCATGTTGTTGAGCAACATGCCAAAATTATCGACGTAAGTTATTTTAACAAACAATTTGTTGTGGAAAATTTTTTACTTTCAATATGTCATTATCTTAAATCATATAAAATGGAAATACGTATTTTTATGTTACAGGAGGCTCATGTTGTCGAGACATTGTCAGAAAATTCAGAACAAACAACAAATGTCGACAGTAAAAACGAACAAAAAAAGGAAAAGAGGAAGAGGAAAGCAAAGAGAAATCAAACTGTACCTATGGAAGAAAGTGAAAATAATTATGCGAGAATTATTTTAAAACCTATTGCTTGGAGAACACCTCCTGCCTCTTTAAATGGTAACCATAGCAATGGAAGAAAGTTGCAACCAATCATAGCTCCCCTTCACAAGAGTAAGTCATCAGCATTGAACTAAAATACATGGAACACTACCTGTAGTAGAAAAGCCTAGTAATTTTTTAAGCCGAATTTTACGCCTAGACACGCGTGTGTACTCAATCAATTTTCACTCCGCGAGAGAATCTCGAAACACTACACACGCGTGTCTTGGTGTAATCTTGCGTGTCTGGGTGTAAGATTTGGGTTCAATTGTTTGCTTTAGGTAGCATTCCATGCTTTAGTTCTATGGTCATCAGTAGTCAGACATTGTTTTTCGGTTCCGGATTTTCTTTTATGCATTGTGGTTTGTCATTGAATTTGTCTTTTTCAAAAACTTTCTCATTCTTATTCACAACCTCAGATATTTCATGGCAACATACTGATTCTTCTATTCTATTCATTAATTGACAATGTTCACACTTACACCTTTATAAAAAATTATTTTGACCCACAATCCATTATTAATGAACGATGCATCAAATGACGAAGACCTCAAACTTTTTATGTCTTTGTCTACATTGTCAAGTCTAGTGTGAAGCACGGCATCTTCGTCTTCGCTTTCTTCATCCAATTCACACGTTCGACGTAAGTCTCAAATCGTGGCTCAAACTCATAGGGCTGCAGGGGCGGATTTAGACTGTTGCAAACGTTGCAAAGGCAACAGTCAGAATTTTGCAAAAAATATCAGTCCCATAAAAATCGCATAAAACGATTTATCAGGTTCGCAATTTTGCATTCATGCGTAGTGCAAGTTGTACTTCGTTAAATTAAGGTTATACAAAGACTAACATGAAGTATGTGCCTATAAATCATCTAAACGCGATCGCATCGTTCAAAATCACACTGAATGGATTATGATGAAATCGGCAACAGTTTGTTGCTTAATTTAGCGAGCTTTGGCTACAGCCAGACGTGCTAACCCAATCACATTGCTAATTGTGGCAACAGTCGAGCGTTGCTTAACCAATCATATCACAAATCACAGCAACAGTGACAGTGGCAACAGTTCGATACAATTGCGTAATTTGCTTTTTATGACTTAATTTTGGTGTATGGACAACTTAATTGTGCTAATTTGGAAACATTCAAAATGTCATCTTACGATACGTTAAAGCAACTGCGCAGTTTGTTGAATAAACCGCCTTCCTATGACGAAAAGGCAAGAATGAGTGGGATTTCATCACTTCGGCAAGAATGCGAGAGAATTATTGCAGCCAAACTGAGTAAAACGAGAGTGGCGACATACAGCATGTTCATATATGTCAATTTTCAAAACTGCAGTTCCCTCGAAGTCAGGAATTACGCTGCATAAATCACTTCCCAATAAAGTTAGTAAGTTAATAAGTAATACGTGCCACACTGGATTTCACTAGAAAAATTCGACAAATTTTATAATTGACTAGACTTTGTGATGTACTGTATGCAACTGTGCAAATAAATTGTTATTGTGTCAATTTTGCAAATAAATTTGCACAGTAGATCTGTAATCTGCAGACTCAAAGGCTCTATGACTTCTTAATGCACATGCCTTTAATGTTGTATTTAATATTATTTATATTGTGTGGTTTGTATCATTTGTATTTAAATACATTTGTTTGTCACTTCCCACATATGTGGTGGTGGTATGGACAAACCCAAGAGCATTTGAAATTTAAGTTTTAATGTGAAATGACTCATTCCTGGATTTGCTTATGTCTTTACGGCTTCTACTATATGGATAGGTTATTTAGATAAATGCTGATATTTTAATCTAAGTAATGATTGTGGTTATATTTATAATGCAGGCATAGATTTAAAGGACGTAATTTTGATGCAGATACATATCATGTGTCTTCCCTGTAAAAATAATTGCAGTTAATGTATTGCTGTCATAACTTATAAACTCTGTAAAACATAATGTTTTATTTCTATGTCATTTGATAATTTGCACTTATTCCATTGTTATATCAAAATATAGGACTTCTGGTGATGGTAATTGTCTTTATAATTCATGCTCCATTGCAATGTGTGGTGATGAAACCTTAGCCACCACTCTTCGATGCCTTACAAGCATAGAATTGTTTATGAATATACCTTATTATTCTTCCCATCCTTTGATTGAACAGCAGCATAAGCAAGGTGCGTTTAGTTGTAAGGAAAATGCATTTGCTATGTGTCTATCTGATGCTGCACTTGAATGTTTTGATAAAAAAGATCAGAAAAAGGCTATTTTGAAGAACTTTGTAGAAATGCTAATGATCAAGTTTATTCATCTTTCCTGTGTTTGATGTCATTGTCAAGCGTCATCAGACTTCCTATTGAGTCTTATTATCCCATTTCTTCTTCTGATGTTATGGATTCTCTTTCAATTATGTTTAATTGCACTATCCAACCAAGGGAGATGTTTGAATTGGCAAAAGAGACTGACAAAATACACATCTTTCGTTGTGCATTTCAACCAGTGGACTATTTAGAAAGAAAAATGCCCCAAAAGCAAACAATCATTATGTACCTCTCTGTCGCAAAAAATCCAACATTTGCATTAGTGATGAAGCACTATTTTTTACTCCTTATCTCCTAAATATGTATTTTCCTGAAATCTTGTCCACCAGTTTCATTAAAAACGCTAACGAGTCCCTGTCAGCTTTCCAAGATGTCTCACCACATAAGGAAACACAAATAAGTAATTAACTAAGTAAAGCCAAGGTTTTTGCAAATTTTAACGTCAAAATGCGGGAAATCACATTTCCGAGGGTCTAAAATTCAAAATTTTCCGGGGGAGCATGCCCCCGGACCCCCCTAGAGGACTCGCGCCTTCGGCGCTCGCAGTACTGCATCAGTCACGAAAATTGCTGGATCCGCCCCTGGGCTGCAGGTCCATGCCGTGAATATTTGCGTCATCGTACAAAATCATTGAGGTGGAATCTTCAGAACTGTTTGTATCACTCTGACTTTCAAAACATTCTACATCTATATCTTTATTTGAAACAATTTCTTTAATGCATGCATTGACATCCATTGCACAACGTTTGTAAATATTTTACAAAAAATCAAAAAATTGATCGTAAAGTCGATATGTAAAGACGAGCACCTCTATATATTATTGTATTTTATAGCGTTGGTATATACACTTAGGTATTCCGTGACGTCATAAAGTAAGCCACTGTATGTTTGCACGCCGCCAGACTTCGCCACCATATTAGCAATATTTCGTATCTTTTACTTCAAATATCTCGTAAAATATTTAGAATAAAGACAAATGATTTCACATCAAAACTTAGGGAACTAGGACCTATCATTTGAACATAAATTGTATTTGGGGTGAACTTCCCCTTTAACTAAACTGTTGACTTTGTTGCAGTTCAAGTTAAGCTCTCTGCAACGGTGTCAATATATAGTTGATTAGAAACTTTTGATGTATTTAATGATTTTGTGGATTTATTGGTTTAACTGTCATCGACAATATGTTATGACTCACATCACAGCAATTTTTCTCTAGAAATCCCATGTCTGAAAATAGTGACATTTAAAACGGTACGAATCTTATCCTGTGAGAATAGACGAACTTAGTAGCTATCATAAGAGCAACAAGAATCACTTTGGCAATTTTGCCAGTATATTTTTGAACGCTTTGTTAGTCATTTTATCAGACATCGGATACCAAACAATTAAAACAATTTGTTCTTTGAACAAACGTCTCTACTTATATATGGCAAAATTCGTGTAAATCGGACGTACATGTGTCGAGAGGAGTGAAGAGCTTGTTCAAATCAGAAATTTGTCACTATACCGTAAAAAGTTTTGAGAAAAATGATGCTATCTGTTTCAATGCGATTGCTTTTAGAATTTGTGAAGCTCCTTATCATAGCAGACGTAGAGTCGCAGTCAAACATTGCAGGTTGCTATCTAAGATAGAAGGAATGTTGATGAAATTGAATGAATCTTATTCGTTGGCAAATAATTAGTTATGCTACTAGCAACTGTTGCTACCAAGAAAAATATTTAATTTGAAACAGTGGATTTCAGTAAATGGGCAGCTGTTTTTACATTTATAGTTCACATTTGATCTAAACTCTCCGAAATTATGTCCTCTCATTTGTATTTAGCATTTCCTTGACATATAAAATTAGCGTATCTTATAAAACTTAAATAGTCTGCAAGTGCAGAATGTCAAGTCACGATAAAACTTTTACACACATAACTATTCGTAATGACAGGAGCACTACAAGTGGTCGTTTCCACAAGAACTAGCTAATGCAAGGCTGAAAAATTAACTTGTAATCTTATATTCTATAATAATAAATTACGTCAAAATGGTTCCCATCTTAGTTTTCAGTGTGTTCTCCTCGAAACACTCCTTATTCATTTCACTTTAATATAATAGGGGAAAAAATAAATCAAGTTTGTATTCTTTTCTTCTCCGAATGACAACCGACAACTTTAATTTGCATTATATAAAATGAAAACAACAAAACGCTTGCGTTGATTGGTTGATAGCTGAGCCTCATCAATTAAACAATCAAAGAGTATTTGCTAATCAATCATGAATACATGTTAGTTGAAATATTAAAACCTTTGCTTTGAATTTATCTTTATAATATTATTGTTATTTTATAAAAGAATTATAAAGATGTTTTTGCCCTGATCTGCTTTCGAGTACTCCCAAAGGTTTCCTCGGTTGTAATATTTCCACAATAAACATCTTTTATTTCTTAATTGAACATCTGCAAATCTTGCAAAGTACACCGAGCAGAAACATTTGTTTCCTCCTTAGAAACGTATGTCAATTTGAAACCTCCACAGCAAACGTGACTATGGCATTCTAATAAGTTGCAACAAAATGAAAATTTTGCTTATTGAATCGTGATTTTATTGAATAGTGAACACAAAAGGTCTGTCCATAAGCAAAGAGAGGACGAAAAAGTTATTGTGGCTAAAACCTGGCCCATTTTTATCGAATACAAGCACTAAATATGTTGGTCATAGCTGCTCCAACTCTGAAGACATAAATGTCTTGAATATGGAGCCTACGAGTTTGGACAACTGTACATATGATAAAATGGTCGAAAGAGACATATAAAACTAGTTGGAACCAAAAAGTTAAAAATAAGCATAATCCGTAAAAGGGCATCTTGTAACCTCAAATAGTGTAACCTAGTGTAACTCATAATGTAACCTCAAAGTTATAAAACAAGACAATTACGCTGCAATATTTCGGTTTTATTTAAAAACCATCATCAGAAAGAATGACATATATTTACAAGTTGTAAGTTAATTGTACATATATATATATATATACATAGTTTGTAGTTTATATATATATACAGGTGTTCAGTTACAATACGAGAAAATTTAGGGGCTGTTTACATGATCCCGGGTGGATTCATCTTATCATGGAGATCAATGTGTTCTTCAGCACTTTAACAATATTCTGTTTTAATAACAACCCACATAACATTCAAAATCGAACAACAAATTTTGGCCTTATTTGAGAATTACAACAGGCATTACTTGCGGTGCTTAACAAACAGTTGTAATTTTTACGCTTGAAGTTTCGACTCTTCTCAATGCGTCGAAATGATTTTACGCCTCACTGAATCCCGGTTAGTCGGGATCATGTAAACAGCCTTTATTGACTATATTTACGATTGTTAATGACCGAAACCCAAATGTTGTTCTAATTGTTGCTATAAGTTTAGAGAAACGTGTGAAATCCTTGCTAGTAATTCTAAACTTGATCCCAAATTCAGTTAGCAATAACTCTAAAATTTGAAATTCTTAAAAAATGTGTTTTGCGTTAATTGTCGTGTATGACAACATAAGTTTTCAATATTTCATGCTTGAGATTACGATAAGATCTTCATATTCAATGCGAGAATTGAGCCTGAATTTTTAAATTTTTGGGGTATAGTTTTTAGAATTTAGTTCCCCCTGACAATTGAAATGCCAACGCCCTTATTTTGGAGCCACTCAGTTAAACCCTGGCCCTTCAAACTCTAAGGTAAAGTTGTCTTAAAAAATAGTAACCACGAGGTTGATAAATAATAAATCAGTTGAATTTATAATTAATTTATCAATGCGAACTTATAGTTTGTAGATTTTACCATTATGTACAGGTTGTATCAAAAAATTCCAATTTAAATTTGGGGTTCAATAACACAGAATATATTTGAAAAAGTCATTTGGTTTTTGCATCTTTGTTAAGTCTATTTATGTACGTTTCAAAAGACATGTTGTACGAATCTTTCAGTTGTGAAATAAAGGAGTATTTCTTTACAAATAAAGTTCATAAAAATCACAATTTTCCGCCAGTGGGAATTCCATTTTGTTTTTCAAATTTACTCCCTTAAGGCTTTTAAATGTTAATCATCACTGAAGACTTAATGCAAATTTAACTTCTTCTGGTATCGTATGCTTTAAAACGCAGTGGCTCCAAATAAGAATGGCAGAAGGCACATTTCTGGTGAAAACGTTTTTGAAACTGGTAGCTTACAAAAACACGCAATCAGTTCAAACAAAGATTTCCAGAACGACTAACTTTGGCCCTCAGAATCATCTGGTACACTGGTACAACATGCGTAAATTTGAGCAGAATGGCCTAAATCGTAATAAAATTGTGTAAATTTTATTCGGAAACGAGTTCTTAAAAGCTAAATTGCATTATCTCTTGTCTTGACTTCTCACTTCAAATTCCATTAGCGCAAAAATCGTATTTCAAGCTAAAAGTTTGAACAGAAGACTACGTGGTTAATTTTGATAGAATCGTCGATAAAGGTGTCAAAACAGAAGCCTAATACGTCATTCTTTATCACCATGTAAAAATTATAAGCTTCACTCAAGTATGCAGCAGGCACTTACCGAAAAATTTTTGATTCCAATTTTGTTGATACACACTGTATTGCTTGCCTCCATGATTGTTGCTTGCTGTGCTGAGAATCGTGATTTGTGCAAAGAATCAAGATAAACTAATGGTTAGCTATCACTACTATTACCTGGTTAACACAGAACTTTAGGAACTTAATTCTTTCGACATTAAAGTTATGTTGCATCATATTAACTAGCTCCATTTTACACTTTCTTTCTAAAACTGCCTAACTCATAAACTTATGTACCATTGTTTACACTGTTCTTGTTAACACAGAACTTTGGAACTTGACTTTTTCAATATTGAAGTTATGTTACACCATGTTATCTAGCTATATTTTACACTTATTGCTAAAGCTTCTTAATTTATACAATTTTATGTAACATCATTTACAATATACTGAAAACCTCTAATATTTTTTTTACCAGTCAAGGCCTTGGAATATTGGATGTAATGGCAAATTGGTCGATGAGCACTGTTGATGAATATTTGATGTCGTGTCAATTACAATTCTCACCACAAGTACAATGAGATTTGGGTGCCATGAAAATAGATCGACAAAATGAAAGGTAATAAATTTAAATAACTTTGGTAAAGTGTTGTGTTTCATGCTCCGCTGTTGCATAGCCAGCCAAGGGCAAGGTAAATGAACATTGTTTGAAAACAAGTTAATAATGTTTAGAATTTACATAGATAGAGTAAAGAGTCAATGTGCAAGTTGGCTATGTTACTGATGTTTACCAATCAACCAGAAAGTTTGATATTGGTTGACCAATGACCTAGAACCCAATCTACTAGAGAGTTGACTCCGCCGAAATTGTATAGTAACGAGTGAGGCAAGCCCCCATCTTGAAAGGTGGCAAAACTGACGATATTTACTACTAATATCTGCCTTTGCTGAGTTGATATATATTCGCAAAGTTCATAGTCCATGTTTGATTCTTAAAATGTTTGATAGGATGGGTTTTTTAAACTTTGTTCTAACTTATTTTTCATTTTGAGTTTTGCTTTTTGCCTCCTTTCAAGATGGCGTCTTTGCCTCACCTTGACGCGGTAGCGAGACATCTCGAAGATTGAGCTCTAAATCATTGTGGTTAATAGTTCACCCTAATCATGGCAACATACATATCATTTGTGCAATAAACAGTAAAAGTGCAAGTTGTTAATCAATAACGCCACTCACCCCCAGCCCGGTCTGTAAGTGACAAATGCCTGAGAAAAAATGTGTGACATAACGTCAAAAAGTTTATCATTTGTTTGGATGGTATATGCATTCAGCAACAAGAAATTGAATCTTAGAACAAACTCCGTAACATGACTCTACGATTTTATATTCT